TTCTTTGAAGAAAGCACAGCCAATGTATTTGCTCGTTTCATAGCCATAGATGTTCTCATCACAGAGCTGGGCATGATAAAACATTCTGGCTGGCAAACAATCCAAGGCGTTGGAAAAGAACCGTCTACATACCTACAAATAGAGAAATCAACATCTGGAACTATGGCTTCTTGTCAAATGTGAAACACGTAGGGACTGCAAACCGTCAACTTACCCGATTCACAGTGAAGACAGGATCTCGGGTTTGACACATGTCCTCTGTAATCATGCTCTCTGTAATCAACTGCTGCCTGTTACCTAGTTTCATAAGGTACATTCTTAGAGCAAAACCAAAAGTTGTACTTTCCTGTCATCAAATGAATATAAACATAGCTAAATCTTAATACTTGCTGTGTGTAGTAGCCACACTTTTTACTGCTTACACCAACATACTGCTGCTGCTGCTCATGTCACTATTATAGCCATCATACCTGAGACATTGTATATGCCACACAGTCCAGTCATGTCAGCACTCAGCTCTTGCTCCAGCTCCACCTTAAACAGGCCATTAAAACAGCTTTATTGGATGACATTAGGGCTACTACACTAGCTGCAAATATTCCACCAAACCTCTGGTGACACAGATGTGCTGCATATGCATCCACGATAACATTTTCAGCGGTCCTCTTACCCACACACTGTCTATTCCTCCAGGTACGTCATGCCAGGTAATGGACAGAGGAAGCAATGAGCTCCTCAGTTTAGTATAGATGCCATAATGAAAAATATGCTGGTAGGTGTGGTCATATGGAAGGGAAACGCTGTCAAAAACAGAAATCAAATAGTGAACATGGATTCTCCCCCCAGAATGATTCATAAACCAAAAATGTTTGGGGCCAAACCTTTTCTCCTCCACCAGGATGCTTCCATTCTGCAACACTACTCTGATTTTGTTGATGATTATCTCAACTTTGACCAGTAGCCCGCTGTCACCTCGCTGTATGGTGATGTCACATTCAACCCGATTGTGGGTGAACCGGGTGAGGGTGAAAGAGCAGTTGGATCTCAAATAGAAACTTGAACCATTGAAAGGCTGGATGACTCCACTGCCTAATGTCCTACAAGTGTCTGATCATGACAAGGGGCAATTTAGTGATTGTTGTGAAACATAGCTGAAGACAGATGCATTTAATGAACAAGGAATTTTGTCATTCCATCTTTAGGCTTTGACATGCTCTTTTCTTGGCATGATACAATTAAAGCATTCAATAATGAAAAATCTATTCCGCATTATTCCTACAATACCTTGGAAGACAAGACCGTCAGTTTATACCAGAATATAAAAATACCGTAAAACTAAGCCAATATCCAACACTGAGTAACTTACATTTCTGAGTTTCTGTTGTGACCGATTCAGCCGTCCCTAAAACTAGAAGAGATCAGAGGATGTAAACGTTACCAACAATAATATACTTGGATTTAGCAAGGATGCTATTGTTACACTAGATTAAATGGATGAACAGTGCTAGAAAAGTCAGTGAAAGTAGGAATATTGCATTGAGACAGTCCATTAAGTATTTACAATTCAAATGTACTTTCAGTATAAAAAGAATTAAAAGGTTGAGTTAGAATTGCTGAACATACCCTTAACACCTGAAATTTTAGGATATGAAAAAGATATTGCATTGCAGCTTTCACAAGATCCTCATCTTGTTACCTCTACTTAAGAAATATTTATGTCAAAGATTGTGCAGTACCTGAGGCCAGTGAGAAGCAGACAGCCAGCATCCATTGCTTTGAGGTCATGCTGCCCAATGATCTCTTGCTGCAGAAGAGAAGGTGGAGCCAATAGAAAATGCACAAACAGCCCACCGCAGGGCTTAAAAATGCCATGTCCATACACACACTACCTGAAAGAGCAGCAAAAACACATACTGAACTCACAGGCATGAGCTTCTTTTAATCAAAGATCTGATTAAGGTCAACAGTAACTAAGCAGAAAGAGTAAAATGATTAGTGGTAAAAAAAAAAAAAAAAACTCGTATTGCTTTTACACCAACTAATCCATCAGAATCAATGTTGGTCATTGTACAACAAAATTAAAAGCTCTGCCTTGATGTGCAAGGCTACATACAATAACACAGCATACTTTTATAAGCTACACAAGTGTGCTTTGCATTTATGTATTGCACTGTTGAAGTTGTAAGTAAATAATATATTCCTATCAACAAGAATAGGACTAATATTTGGCATTCAACAAGGTTATGGGGCTCTGGGGATGAAGCTCTTAAGTCTGCTAGTCCTGGTCTTAATGCCCCTGTATTGCCTCCCAGAGGTTAGCAGGTTCAACAGACCGTAGCACGGGTGTGAATTGCCCTTGACAATATTCCTTGCTTTTGAGACAGTGGGAGTTGTAGATGTCATCCAGGGCAGAAAGAGGCTGGCTGACAATTTTCTGGGCTGTCTTGAACACTCTCTGCAGCCTCTTCTTGTCTGCTTCAGTGCAGCTAGTGTACCACAGAGGAATACAATATGTCAGCAGGCTCTCAATACAAGATCCATAGAAGGTCACCAGCAGCTTGCTATACAGGTTATTCTTTGAGCACCCATGGGA